AGCCCTCGGTCCCAGGGAGAGGGGCGAGCAGAGACCCCGAAGCAGCAGAATTCGCTCTGGCTGCCTGGGACCCTTCAAGGCCAATGGCTCCGTGTCAGCAACTCCTCCCAGGCCTGACAAACCCGCTCCGGCCAAGCCACCGCTCTCCTGGCGCTCACCCCACAAGAAAGCCGCCCACACACGGGTCGCTAATATCGCTGCAAAACGTACAGACTCCTGCTACCTACGGAGCCGCGCTCAGACGGAAATTCTGTTCCCCAGCGTGGCACACGCCGACGCCCGTCTGCCCCGGCTCCGATGGCAATTAATCATTGCAAAGCCAACCCCCTGGAAGCCGCATTTACATGGTAAGTCATCAAGAAATATCGGCGAGGGGGGGGGAGTGAAACCAGCCGCGGAACAAGCAATGGGGGAGGAGTGGCCGTAGCTGTGGGGGCATTGCAAAGGCTGACGGGCCTATCTAAGACAGGCAAAGGGACCCTGGGTTATCCAATCAAAGAAGAGCCCCCTGGAAGTACGTGTACACTGAATTAAAAACCCGCGGCCGGCCTGTGCCAGCCAACTCGGGCCGTGGGGCTGTGTGGATTTCTGGGCTTGGGCTGCAGCCCGAACTCTGGGACCCTCCCACTTGGCAGGGTCCCGGAGCCCAGAAGTCTTAGCCCGAGCCCTGTGAGCCCGAGTGAGCTGGCCCGGGCCAGCCGTGGGTGCCCCCCTGCAGTGTAGGGTGAGGGGTGAGAACTCAGATCCTGGGTCTGACTGAAAACCAGCAGCTCTGTCAAAACCTGCTTTGCTGTATAGGACCAGGAACCAGTGTAGACCCAGGCCTGCGATTCACACCCGGAACCTGGTCTGTTTCCATTTCTTATCTGCACTCACGTGTAGCCTTTGCTAATCAACGTCCAGTTGTTCCACTATAAATATGCTTCACTGCCCGTGCTAGTACATGGACCCAATCCTGGCTGGTGCCCACCCAGCTGCGTGTACCCTGTCTCTCTGCAGACAGCTTGCCCCAGTGCCAGGGGCGGGCTATTCCCAACAGGCTCGGGATGGGGGGGGGGGGGGGTCTGTCACTAGCCTGCTGTAACGAAGTGGGACTGTTCTTAATGTTTCCTCTGAATACTGTGTGGGTGCCTCAGTTTCCCCTATGCATTTCTTAAGTCTCTAGGTGGTGGGATAAAGGCCAGTGTGCATAAATGGGCGACACTCTGTCTCCTGGCAACTAATGGCCGGGGCCCTTCCCCCTGCAAGGGTATGCTGAAGGTGTTGGAGAACAAAGAGATCAGGTGACCTCCTGGCCCGGGAAAGAGACAAAGGCCAGAAAGGAGGAGAGTTTCAGTTTGGAGCTGGCTGGGGACAGGGAGTGAGTGCAGACGTTGGTGTCTGGCTCGCTGCCCCCCAGGATGGACCCGGCGGAGGGGTCCTGTTCGCTGGACCTACAAGCTCTGTGTTAGACCATGTTCCTGTCATCTAATAAACCTCTGTGTTACTGGCTGGCTGAGAGTCACGTCTGACTGCGAAGTGGGGGTGCAGGACCCTGTGGCTTCCCCAGGACCCCGCCAGGGCGGACTCGCTGTGGGAAGCGCACGGAGGGGCATATGCTGAATGCTCCCAGGTCAGACCCAGGAGATGAAGCCGTGTGAGCTTCTTGCCCTGAAGACAGTCTGCTCCGAGGGAGAGGAGGCTCCCCAGAGTCCTGACTGGCTTTGTGGGGAGCAGTTCCAGAGCATCGCCCGGGGACTCCGGGACACCTGCGCACAGAGGGCAGGGCTGGGAGATCTGGAAACCAGGATTTGGTTTCAGGGAGCTGAGCTGCAGCAGGCTCTGCACGCGAAGGGCCGGGGTGGGGACGTGGCTCCCAGCCCTGGGTACCGTCCCAGCGATGCCAGGGTGGCGCCTGGCCCGGCTCCCCGCCCTGGTCACAGACCGAAGGCGAAGATGGTGTCCCAGCTCTCCAGGTAGCGGTTCCAGAAGGGCAGCAGCTCCCGGCTCCACTGGGGCACGACGGTGGCGAAGATGGAGTTCTTCAGCATGAGGCCGATGGCGTCGATGAAGCGCCGCGTCTCCGCGGGGATCTCCCGCTCCAGGCACCCGATGCGGGTCTCGAAGAGGATGTAGGAGATGCCTGGCGGGAAGGAGAGGAGAGTGGCTGCTCTGGGCCCTGAGCAGACAGGGCGAGGGGCACAGGCCCGGGAAGCAGCACGAGGCTGCAGTAGGTCCGTCTGGATGCACTAGGGGGCAGCGTGCAATGGCCCACGGGGACCCCCGAGCCGCCCCCTTGCCACCTACCTTCCAGGGCGAATCTGTAGAGCAGGTTGGCCACGTCCCCCACCAGGACCCCCAAGGGGCTCCCCGCCCTCTCTGCCTGCAGCCGGACCATCAGGTCTGACACCACCTCGTTGATGGCCCCCGCGTACAGCATGGCCTCCGACGGCTTCAGCATCCGCTGGTTGAGGACCTGGCGCAGACGGTACCAGCGTTCCCCTTCCCTGGGGGAGAGGCAGGAGATGGCTTAGCACCCGCCCACGCCGAGGGGCAGCTGGGAGCGGGACGCCGAGCTGCCCCCCCCGGTACACGCGGGGCTGGCAGGGAAGAGCCGAGAGATGAAGGGAAGGCCGGGAACTCCCCTGTAACACCGGGGGTCGCTTTTCCTTCCCAAGGTAGAGCCTCCCCCCAATTCCAGCTGCATCCGCTGTGTGCCCCCCACTTCCCCTCAAGAACCAGCCCTGCACCCGGAGAGCCCCTGCCACAGTGCCAGGAGAGGGGGACAACTGTACCAGGGCACTAAACCCCCTGCTCCAGGGCATGACCCAACCACGGACTCTCGGGCATGGAGGGAAACATCCCGCGGGCCGGTTATTCCAGAAGTGCCCACTCGGGGAGGAGTGGGGGGGTGTCCTGGTCAAACCCCAGTGCCTCTGTCCCTCCACCTCCCTGCTGCCCATAACACCGGTCTGACCCAGTCTGGGGTTCTGACCCTCCTCAGCTACGGGCCCTGCGCCCAAGACCACGGAGGCTCGGTCACTAGCGGGACCTAGCCGGCATCACCAGAAATGATCTGTGATGAAAATTTCAACAGAAACTCCCACGTTTCCCCAGCACCAAAACCTTTCGGCCCAATCCTCGACGTCGCCCCAATTTCCTGCTCTCCGACCAACCATTTAGAAGCAATCCTGCCGTCTCTGTACGGCTTTGGCAGGCCGTGCTGAGCCTTCGGGACGGAGCAAAGGCAAGTGTCCAAAT